CTCACTGCCTCACTCTCTCACTCACTCATTCACTGACTCACTCTTACTCTCTCACTGTCTCACTCACTGACATTCACTCAGTGACTCACTCAAAATAAAAAAGAAAGATGGAAGAAGCACCCTTAAAAAAGAAACCAAACTGACCCAGCAGAATGGAGAAATATCATTAATATGACATGCAAATGAAATGTTGCTAAATATAATTAAAAATGATTGAAATAGTGTATCCATGGGGAGCTTTCCGATATTCAATCTCTATACAAAAAACGACCAGAGATTGGGGTGAAATATCATTGTTGAAATCAGGTAGTTCTTGACGGAAAGTAGAGAGTAACAGAAATGCTTACTTGCGTTTTGTTTTATAATTGTTCAAAGCATTTGACTGTAGATTGTCGTTAACGATGGACAACACTACCATAAAACGGGATTTCAGCATGCTTAATTGTCCTCATGGGGACATAGACCAAGAGGCAATCACTGCACTAGAACAAGGGTTTAAATCAGTTTAAAATCAGGATTGTATCCTTTCACTACGCTAGTTCAATCTGATATCCTGCCAAATAATCTGAGGCACTGACCATTATGAAGAAGAATGCAGCAGGAGGAGTGGAAGGCTAATGAACAACCCGTGATATGCAAATGTGAAACTTTGCTTGCTGAAAGCAAAGAGGACCTGCAATACTTCATAATGAAGATCCAAGACGACAGCCTTCTGTATAGATTATAACTCCATGTAAAGAAAATGAAAATCTTTCCAAGTGAACCCAAAGATAAACTGAAAAAAGATGAAATTTTATCAAGGGCTTCATTTTACTGGGAATCAATGCTCATGAAACCCGTAGTCAAAGAAGAACCTTTTGCAATGCACGTATCTACTGCAAAGATGACACAAAGCTAACTGTCAAAGGGCAGCATGCATATGTTTTTGCTATGTAACGTGAAGCCACAGTGTGCATTGCAACAGATTGCTATTTGGGTAATGGGCTGATAATCTCAAGGTTAGAAGTAACAGAAACACTACTCCTTTCTCTCCCTCCTTCTCCAAGAAAACAGAAAGGGCTCTCACGAACTTGACCTTTTCGACAATTGTCTTTCAAAAACGTACTGAACGCCAACTTGTAAGTTTTCTGCATCACCCGTTGCCAGTCCATCTCATTGTGGGTCTTTGGCGCTGACCCTTTATTTTTTTTATCAAGTATAGTGTCCTCTTGAGACGGGCCTTTCCTGATACTATGTCCAAAATATGTGAGACAAAGCCTTGCCACTCCCTTGCAAAGGATATTCTGGCTGGACCTTGTCCAAGGCAGATTTGTTTGTTTTCCGGTGAGTGCAGAATACATGCAATATTCTCCACCAATGCCACCATAATTCATGTCTACCGTTTCTTCTCCAGTCTTCTTTCTTCGCCTTAGAGGTTTCCCATGTATATTAAAAAACTGATGGAGTGGGTCATACATACCTTAGTCCACAAAATGACATTTTAAAAAATTCTTTAAATGATCTCTTGCAGAAGATTTGCTCACTATATGAGTTGATATCTTAACTGTGCTTCTATTAATATTGATTGCATATCCAATTAAAATGAAATGCTTAGCAAGTTCGATCCCTTCTCTATTTATCATGATGTTATCTATTGATGCAGTTGTGAGGAGCCTTGTGCCCTTTATGTTCAGACTAGTATTATTTTTATTTGTGTTACTGAAGGAGTTAGTCTTGGGTTTTCATCAGTAAGTACTTCCAAGTCCTCTTTACTTTCATTGAACAAAGTTGTGTCAGTAGCATATTACAGATTGTTAGTGAGCACCCCCCCTACCAATCCTGATGCCAGGGTCTTCCTCATATTCACTAGCATGTTGGCTTATGTCTTTGGCATACATATTTTATAAGTACAGTGAAAGGATACTACCCTCACATAACACCTTTGCTGATTTGAAACTTCACGACATCATCTTCTGTTGGAACCCTTGCCTCCTCTATCTATAAGTTCCACATGAACACAGTTAGGTGTCCTGGAATGTCCATTCTTTGCAATATTGTTTATATTTTGTTGTGATCAATACAGTTAAATGTATTTGCATTATCAGCAAAACACATTTTAACATCTTCCACCTTTTAGTTAAGGTCCATCTGACATCAGCAATGGTATTCTCCCTTCCCCGTTCTCTTTGATATTTGTGTGAATCAAACTAGTCAACAGTCCACCATTGCAGGCGGCAGCATATGAACAAGCACCAACAGTGCTGAAGGAAGGCATTTCAACTGCACTGAATGCCTTAGGCCAAAACAAGATCCAGGAATTGACAGAATACTAATCGAGATTTTTCAGAAACCTGACAAAGCGCTGGGAGCACTTGCTCATCTATGCCAGGAAACGTGGACGACAGCTCCTTAGACTGGAGGAGATCTGTATCTGTGCCCATTCTAAAGCAAGGTGCCCAATAGAATGTTCAGACTACAGAAGGATATTCTTTTTTTTTTTGCATTGTTAAAGTTCTAAGATTTTGGGTTTTTAAAAATCATTTTATTAGGGGCTCATACAACTCTTATCACAATCCATACATATACCAATTGTATAAAGCACATTTGTACCTGCATTGTCCTCATCGTTCTCAAAACACTTGCTCTCCACCTAAGCCCCTGGCATCAGCTCATTTTTGAATAAGTCCAACTAATTTAAAAATACCATTGTAAAACTATCAATAAAATGCAAATCTGCCTGCTATAGAGCTTAGAAAATACGTGACAAAGGATCTGAAATTAGAAACATGTAGAGTAATGCATATAAGAATTGCATATATAAAAGAGGCCTAGACTCAGACAGCTATAGTTAATCAGAAGTTGATTGTTCAAAGGGAGTTAACTCGGAGAACACTTTTTCTCTCAGCCTTGAGACTTCAATTCAGTAGCAACCATGAGTAGGAAAGGAGGAATGATAAGTCATTCCCTTTGTCCCCAAAGACAAGGCGATAGATTCTTTGAAACGACTGCCCACAGCTGGTCTAGGTAAAGGCATTAGCTGGATGACTAACTTTGGCCAGGGTAAACAGGATATGTGTGCTAGCCCACACGTTGGGTGGGCTTCACCCCAAGGCCAGCTTCCTAAGTCCTTAGTCACAACCACTGCCTCAAGTAAGTCATAGTCACCCAGAATCTTAACATGTTAGTTAGGTGTGCCCAGAAAGATAACTGTCTCGTCTTCTAGTTTTCTTGAGAATGTGGGAACGTTTGTCACAGAATCCCATAGATCAGTTCAAATGAAACAAAAGAGAAAGTAGTCATTGAAGAAAACTTCAGGAACCATGAGAAAGCTTCAACAATGAATATTTCTGACCGAAGTCCAAGGTCTGAAGCTGTCAAATGGAAAGCACAGGGGTACATTTTAACTCTGCCTGTCATTAGCAGTGTCAGTCTAGGACAACACTCACTGAGCTTGTAGCATGCCATTTTCTGTGCTGTAAAATAGGGATACAGAGGGTGGGGAGATTGAAGGAGACTATATATGTTAAACTAGATGTGTACACATGGAGAATTCTCCCCTCCTCTTTTTAACCTTTCTCTTAGCTTGCTTTTGTTTAACCACAAATATTTTTGAGCAGCTTGCAAGAAAAAAAAATCATGGATTGTCGTCTCCTGCCCCACACCCAATGCCATGGGGGACAGCTAAAAGATTCAGCTTTATAAGCAAGGAGGAGGGGTAGTACAGGAAGAGGTAGGCAACACAAATGACAGTGGTGCTAAGTAAAATTGGGCAAATACCTTAAAATGTTGTTGAACACAGTGGTTCACCGTCACCATAATGAAAAGAAGCATAATTACCTCTTGAACGTCAAAAAACAAGTGGATATATGTTTAACAGTAGTTAGGGAAGCTATCTCTGCTTTTCAGCTACCCAGAATAGTTTTTTAATGTTCATTCGTCTGCAGTGGATGGGGATTACCCACCTCTTTAGAAAGGCCAGTAGTCAAGGGAAGAGCTGCATCTGAGACAATGACCACAAAGTGAAAGGGTCCCTCTCCCATGACCTTTGAAATAAGAGGGTCACTATCTGAAAAAGGAGGGTCTGTAGCTGTGCCTTGACCTCTTTACTATGATTTGTCACAAAGGGGACAACAGCTTTCATATCTTACAAATGATTTCGAGGGAGAGAAAAATGAACACCAGGATCTGGCCACGCAGAGTATTCCATTGCTGTCCACATATTTAAGGACTGTCCTTTGCTTCTCAGATTGTTTCATATCCCACCAGGGTGGCTGTATCGATCAGGAAGAGACTGACCATCTGCTTTTGGTAAACGATAATATAATTTCCTGGTTACATACAAATTCGTTTTGTACAATAGCTACTTCTCTGTACCTTGGTCTACCTCTCGGGGCCTTTTTTAATGTTACTATGAAACAACCAAGTATAAACAAATAAAATGGAGATGTCTATGCATAATTTACTTATTTTCCTTGAATTCAGTAACATTCTTGATACCATAGCCAGCTTTCGAAACTTATTTTCCTCTCTTCCAGTAGAAGTGTCCTTCCAAGCCATAATAATAACAGACAAAATATAACTACTTTGGTTGGGGAAATTTAGGACAAAGAACCTATCCATCCACTTGCTTGCCAGTCACCACGGCATCTTGAAATTGAGGATAAAAAGCTATTGCTCTCGTCTTATATTATCTCACAAGCCAATTAATCAATAAGATATTGCCATCATAATCCAATAGTTTAAGGGATCAAAGATGAGTAAGGCTGTAAGAGGCTGGAGAGTGAATTCAGATCAAATTCCTCATTGTAAAAGGAAGAAAACTGAGGGTCAGGGGGATTTCTAGATCAAGGTTGTTCTGTTTGTTCATGGTAATGCCAGACTAAGTCCTTGGTCTCACATCTTCCAGTGAAACGACCTTTTATCGTGGGGTTCAAAGGTTATCAGAGCTCTTCTTTCTTTGGGGCTATTAAGTTTGGTTACTTATTCCCTGAGTTCTGAGTTAGGCAAGTACTTCTAAGATTTTGGAAAAAATATTTGCGTGCTCAGATGTGATCTCAAAGTGGACATAGCAGCTTTGCCTCGCAGGGAAAGGCCATAGAAGGCCACCTGCACACAAATCCCTGTCATTTATTGCTCCTGGCCACACATCCCCAAATCCTCCCTTCCCAAATTTTCTGCCCCCACAAGTCACAATTAAAAAGTGCATCTCCTTCTGTGAAAAGCAAGCTTTAACAAACGCTGCTATCATGCCCGCAGCAAACGAGCCTTTTTCAGATTAGCAGTGGTTACACTGGAGTGGTAAAAAGTGCTGGAGAATAAAATATAAGAAACAATCTGTTTATTATTTTTAAGTTGAAAAAGATAGAGAACTAATATATTCTAGATGCCTAATCCCCACTTTTACAACCCCAAAATGACAGCTATTTTCTCATATTTTATTCACAGGCACCTTTTACCTCCCACTATAACAGTTACTAAGCACAAAGAAGCACATTATAAATACTTAAGATTTTTGGACAGCTGATAGCGTAGTGGGTTACGTATGCTTTGGGATGTTAACCCAGCGAGGTCACCAGGGATGCCGTGGTGGAGAAAGATGAGACTTTCTACTCCCCTCAAGAGTTACCGTCTCAGAAACCCCCACGGGAGTTGTGGTTCTACTGTGGCCTCTAGGGTCCCTAGGACTAGAATCAACTCAACGGCAATGAATTTGGTCATGAGTTTTGAGAAACTTAGAGTATATTTCTTAAGACAGGACGGTTGAAGAAAGTTGAGAGACGGAACAGTAATTCTAAGAGACATTAACCTAATTTATGAAAGCTTTGCTTTATTTGCTTGAGTAGTTTTATCCCAGCTGTGGTCTTAAGGTCTTTTGCTTATCACTCCTCATT